TGTGCTGACGCTCTGCATGTCTGGGTACCCGGGCCCGGGTTGTGCCCGCTGTGCTGACGCTCTGCATTTCTGGGTACCCGGGCCCGGGTTGTGCCCGCTGCGCTGACGCTCTGCATGTCTGGGTACCCGGGCCCGGGTTGTGCCCGCTGTGCTGACGCTCTGCATGTCTGGGTACCCGGGTCACCCCCATCCTAAAGTTCTCATGTAGGAAAAAAAATCCATTTTTAATACAGGGCTAGGAAACAGAAAAGTATCACGTGACGGTTCTGGATGATACGGATATGATGAATTTAACAGGTTGAGATAAGTAAAGTTTGATGATTTTGAAGTAACCATATTATTAGTGGGTTTGGTAGGGTAATATTTGGCTTTGTGTGGTTTTAAATGGTTAGTTCATATAGCTAGACCTTCTAGTGTTTGGGCTTGGATGAGGTTACACATGGATTTTGAAGGGGCTCGTTTTCGATAGTTGGGAAAAGTTGGATTAAATGGAATTAACTGAATTTAATAATTACAAATGTTATGTTTGACAACCCAATGTAATGCGACCATCTATTCAAAGCAGGGGTCTCAATCTCAAATGATCCGGTGGCCGCTGGAGGTCAAGTCTGAGTGAGACTGGGCCGCATCAAGTATTTTTTAAAAAAAACGAGATTTACAAATTTAATTAAGTTCAGCCGTTACACTGTCCTCAAACTTTATTAATAATAAATAAAAACATTAAGGGCTTTCAAAAACTAGGCTTCACTTTATTCCTCCAGCTCATTGTTGCCACAGATGTGACAGCTCTTATTCTTACACAGCTGAGTAACATTTGGCTTAAAATTGAGTGAGGACGCTGCTGAGGCCCTCAGTATATCTTGAAGATGCTCATCAATAAGTTTGGCCCTGGCTTTTCACACATAGGTACTCCCAAAAAGACACATTAACCTGGAAATCTCAGGTAAGGTGGAGGGCAATCCTCTCACAAATTGTCCTTTGCTTGTCTGTTTTTTCTATTCACCTCCCTGATCTTGCACTGACGTTTTATCATCTCTATTTGAAGCTGTAACCTGTGATCAAATTCCCGCTGTAGCTTTGCAATGGCATCAGTATATTTTAGTTACTACTGAATACCCGAGTCCATGAGTGCTTTGGATGTTGGGAAATGGCAGAGGTTCTCTGAGAACTATAAGACAAGTTGTATGCAGAATGCCCTGATATTGTCATAAGCAACACTGACAAACTGCCTCTGGTCTTATAACTTCTTGTTAAGTTCATTCAACTCCTGCGTAATGTCAACTAGAAAAGCCAAGTCCATGAACTATATGGGATCATTTAATACAGGAACAATCACCTCATCCTACACCATGAAGGTTCTTAAGGCTAAAACGTGTTCAAACAGAAGGCAGGTGCCGGCAATATTTTATTTATGAATTATTGATGCGAAGGAAAATTCTGTTGAAGGGAGAATGAATTTTGATTTTGTTTATAGTAGAAAAGGCCTTTTGACTAAATCTATTGTGAAAGTGGCCAAGTCGACAGGCTCGGAAATTCCCTCACTCGTAATCACTAGGGGAAATTTTTAAAGGAATTCTTTGATACTGTGTAAGATTGCTAAGATTTAACAATATTGTGGTTGTGAATTAGCCACTAACTGACTTTTTAATCTTTTCTCATAACTGCGATTTAGCCACTTCTCATAAAATGCTATAAAATAAAAACTTTTAGTCCGATTTTAAAACGGTTTTTACCTTTATAACCAACGCCCAAATCTATACAAGCATACTAAAAATCAGAATTACACTAGTCGGTGAGATTCAAATGAAACCGTCTCTGAGTGTCAGATTATAGATATGAGGATGAGGAAAACGCACGGTCCGCATTAGCACTAAACTTTGCTATCAGGTAGCGGGCCGCAAAATGTCATCGTGCGGGCCACAAATGGCCCGCAGGCCTCGAGTTTGAGGCCACTGTTATTCAAGGAAACAGCTTAGAAATGGCAAGGTAAATAAATGCAACAAAATATTTTTTTAAAACTGCGATTATTGTTAATAATATTTTATTAACTTGTAAACAATATTCAATATAGTTTACGTTGGGAATGTGGAGAAAGGTATAGGCTTACTCCACATTGTATGTGATTGAAATGAATGAACAATCTAGGTTTATGGTCGTAACACTCTAGTTTATGGTTGTGACACTCCAGTTTATGGTTGTAACAATCTAGTTTATGGTTGTGACACTCTAGTTTATGGTTGTAACAATCTAGTTTATGGTTGTGACACTCTAGTTTATGGTTGCAACAATCTAGTTTATGGTTGTGACACTCTAGTATATGGTTGTATCAATCTAGTTTATGGTTGTGACACTCTAGTTTATTGGTTTGACACTCTAGTTTATGGTTGTAACCCTCTAGTTCATGGTTGTAACAATATAGGTTACGGTTGTGACACTCTAGTTTATGGTTGTAACTCTCTAGTTCAGTGGTTGTCAACCTTTCTAATGCCGCGACCTTTTAATACAGTTTCTCGTGTCGTGGCGACCCCCAGACACAATTATTTTCGTTGCTACTTCATAGCTGTAAGGATATGTGTTTTCAGATAGTCTTAGGCGACCCCTGGAAAAGGGTCCCGCGACTCCCTAAGGGGTCGCGACCCACAGGTTGAGAACCGCTGCTCTAGTTCATGGTTGTAACAATCTAGGTTTATGGTCGTAACACTCTAGTTTATGGTTGTGACACTGTAGTTTATGGTTGTAACAATCTAGTTTATGGTTGTGACACTCTAGTGTATGGTTGTTACACTCCAGTTTATGGTTGTTACACTCCAGTTTATGGTTATGATACTCCAGTTTATGGTTGTAACATTCTAGTGTATGGTTGTTACACTCCAGTTTATGGTTATTACACTCCAGTTTATGGTTGTTACACTCCAATTTATGGTTGTTACACTCCAGTTTATGGTTGTCACACTCTAGCGTATGGTTGTTATACTCCAGTTTATGGTTGTTACACTCCAGTTTATGGTTGTTACACTATAGTAGTGATTCTATTTTAAGTACTATTTTTTTTTAAATTCTTCTTGATTAGTTTTTAAAAAAAAATGTTTTACAGTATATCGAAGAAGCTATTTGTAATTTATCTGAATAAAGTTATAATAGCTTGAAATTACAAATAAATATTTTTAAAAACTGAATATTGGTAAATTTATATTTTATTTTTATAAGATTTTTCTCAGATAAAATCATACATTTATAAACATTATTATGTTTTATAAACAGCCCATGTCTTATTAACCTATTTATGCATTTAATAAACGATTTATAAAAATGACTACATACAAATGCATAGACCTTTCCAAAAAAAAAAAAAATTGTGTTTTCTTTTGACTTTGGTAACACTTGGAAATATTCAGAAACGTTAATTATTATAAGTTGTTGCTTTTATTCATTATTATATTATTGTTGTGTTCATTTTGTAAAATGATGTTAGCTGTGTTGTTGTTGTTTTTTTTTTTGTGTTGTTTTTTTGTGTGATGGAATCCTATTTTGGAAGGAATGCTGTTGTTTTGTTGTTGTTTTTAAAATGCATTTATTAATGAATCAGTTAACGTCAAAAATACCTGAAAGAAAAATGAAAGCCGCGTGACTATTTAGTAATTTTTAAAAAAGTCGTTGTAACACAAACAGGCCAATCAGAGCCGCTTGACGTTTCGCCCCCCCCCCTCGAATACCACTTTTCGTTTTTGTCCACCCCTCCGCCCACCTTGCATTCAAAGTTGATAATTAAAAGATTGTCAACATCACAACTTTAAGCCCCTAAAATATTTGTTGCCCCATGAAACTGTACGGGTTGGAAGACCCACACGATGGCTCTGAGGGGTTGCGGGACCCACACGATGGCTCTGAGGGGTTGCGGGACCCACGCGATGGCTCTGCGGTCAAGTGAAACCTACATTTTAACTAGCATCTCCCCCGTCGCTCTCCGATTATGTGTAGAATGTTGCAAAACTAAATTCAGGTATGTGCTAAAATGAATTCTTCCATTTTGATGTTATACAAAAAAACATTTGGGACTATAAAGATTTTAAAACAGAGCAGGGGAAAGGGGGGTAATAAGCTAGGGCAAAGAGCATATCCTCAGCGGCGTCACAACTCCAAAAGAAACACCAAATTCAAATATGAGCCAAAATGTATCCCTGCATTTTGAATTTGCCCGACAATCTTACACTTACAGCTGGGATAAATGATATTAAAAGTTTATTCCAGCTACTTGGGTAACTGACTAAGCGACGACTAAGTATGTAACAAAAAGACGTCTCTATCTTTCGGCCATGAATAATCAAGTTATTAAAGGTGTATTGATTTTTTTTTAATGCTCCAAAAGGAGGTTTAAAAAGATGCTTTCTTATTTGGGCACAGCCAGACAGTCTACATAGGGAGACATAGTAAGGGCCGTGCGAAAAAAACCAGGGGGGGGTTGTGGGGGGTGATCTAATAACTGGCCAACCCCGGCAATGTTCTTAGAGGTTTGGGGGGGGGGGGGTTTAGAAAAATCGTAAATTATTCTTAATTATCATTAATGAAGGAGGGATCGGCTCATTTTGTCCCCTTAAATATAAACGTTACAGTGCGGGGAGAGCAGTAACGGTCAAAAACAACCCCCCAAAAAAAAGTTAATTAATTAGCTGAAGAGTATAACTTTAGCACGAAAAACTATCCTCACTTATCCGCAAATATAAGGGCTTAGCTCCAGGCGCCGCTTTTGTTTAGCATGGCCATCATATTTAACACAAGTTTTATTTAAATTCGGAGTACCGATTATTTTTAATGCAGTGGCGTAGGAAGGGGGTTGCGGCGAACGTGGTCCGTCCAAGGCGGAACCTTTTTTCTTTATATTGAGGGGCAGAATTTTGAGCCAACTGCCGAGATTTTTTTCGTTGAAGGAAGGCAGCAACCCTAGCTACGCCACTGCTGGGGTGACAATAAGATTTTTTTTTAATTAGGGTGGGGGGGGGGGGCTAAAATTTCGGCTGCCTTGGTGCCTCCGGTTAAAAAGGGTGGGGGGGGGGAGTATTGATCCTGCACTGATCGTTAAGGATACGAAAGGTGTGAATTTGAAGATCAAAGCCGATGGATGTCTTCTCAGAATTCAATGATAGCAATTTAAGATAAATTTAAAGTAATTAAATGGGAGATTAAATGACACAAATCTTAGCTAAAGGCACTAAAACAAAAATTGTCTTTTTCAGATGCATTAAGCAATACAATAAGAAATGTTTATTAAATAAACCAGACACAGTGAATCTGTTGCTCCATCTTTGGTCTGTGTGTTCATGATAAGGTCAAAGCAGACTTTCCAGAGGTGGGTCCGAGAACAGAGGCCGGAATAGGTCACAATGATACAATTTGTGTCTTTGCCTTACACATCCAACTTAAAATGTGTGCATCTGTAATCATTTTAACTAAAAATGAAGGGTGTGGTGGTAGAATTAAGTGTCGCACTCATACGCCATTCAACAAATCTCCCACTGGCTTCTTTATACAGTAATAGTAGTAGACATGATTGAAAATATGAAACATTAGAACGGTAATGATGAAGACATTCTGGACGGCGACAACTGTAAACTAAATCTGGCCACCCCCTTCCTTATGTACCGGCAGTCTTGAAGCTCCTCCCACTCGGAGTCCGTGATAGGACCCCGGATGTTGGTGGGGGTCAGAAACTCCCTGTACCGCAGGGGTCTGGGTTGGATGGTGTACACGCGTGGCAGTAGAATGGGTGGCAGGCGCAGCTGCCGTTTCTTCTTCGGCTTCGGGCTGCCACAGTCATCTTCCTGGTAAGCCGCCTGGTCCAAGAAGTTTGGCGTCGATGTTGAAATTCTCGGCAAGGATGACCATGACCTTTTATCCCAGGAGGAAGTGGGCGAAGACGGCGCGTTGATATCCGGGACTTCTGTAGTGTTAATGATGGGAAGACGGGGCAGTGAAGCTTTAGCGGCCTTTGACGCGCCGTTAGTGGGCTCCAGGGGGCCCAAGGACAATGTAGGCTGATCGGGGTCAAGGCCGTCATCGTAGACATCAGAGCTCTCATTTTCTTCGGGGTTGTCATCGTCTAAGACCTGTCGTGGGAACAGAAGAGGCGATGTAATGTAAATGATTTACTAGGGGTATTTGACCTAAGACCTGTCGTGGGAACAGAAGAGGCGATGTAATGTAAATGATTTACTAGGCGTATTTGGCCTAAGACCTGTCGTGGGTCAAGAAGAGGTATTGTAATGTAAATGATTTACTAGGGGTATTTGACCTAAGACCTGTCGTGGGACAAGAAGAGGTATTGTAATGTAAATGATTTACTAGGGGTATTTAACCTAAGACCTGTCGTGGGTCAAGAAGAGGTATTGTAATGTAAATGATTTACTAGGGGTATTTGAAGACTGTATTTACATCTAGTAAGTGGTGATGTTCTTGTGGAGGACGATGGTGCACTGATAGGAATGGGGAGAAGCAGAGTAATAATACATCCCATTGGATCACCATGTAGTCAAATGCCCCAGTGCATCTACAGAAATAGTAAGAAATAATGCACTTCCCAACACAGTGGCGTTAATTTTTAAAAATTTGGTTGTTGTTCTTTTTTTAAAGCTGTAGACTTAAAGTATTTATAAATGTCCGATTTGAAAATAATTCATAACGCAATATTAATTAGCCATATCATCAAAGAAAACTATTCTTAATTTTAACTACAGATTGAAACAATCCAGGTGAACATCATCGGAATCTGCCCCAAGCCGGTTGGGTGAAGTTTCTATAAATCTGTCATAAAACCAAGGTGAGCATCCTATGAACTGAAATGAAACAGTTCACATTTACCTGGTCACGCAGCCATCGGGACAAAGTGTCCGCCAGCTTTGAGTTGCTGTTGGGCAGGAGGTTGCTGCTCGCTCCGTTCAGACTTTGTTCCAGCAACGCCTTCTGTCTCTGACGCTCCTTCTTCCTCCTGTCGTGCTTCTCGTCGACGGCCATTATTTTCTGGATGAACGCCCAGCTGCTGCCTACGTCATCGCACGCTACCGGGCGCTCCCTCCTCGGACTCTCAGCGGCCATCGTTGGCCGGCACGTCGTCTCGCTGTTTGCATTGTGCAGGCGACTGCAGGCGTTGCAACCCTTGAGGTTAATGCCGCTACAGCAGGCTGGGTTGCGGCCCCTTACCGAGGAGCTGGTAAAATTAGTCATGATTTTTTAAAAAAAAATTTTTTAAAGTGAGGTTAACGTTAGAAATTGCTGTTGTAATCGACCGATTGCTTGTCTAAACCCAAGGCCTTGTTTGTTAGCGTCTTGTAACGAGCACAACCAACAACACCTCAACCAGTGGTGAGCTCTCAAGGTGGGTTCATTCTAAACAACGTTAGTTCTGAAAAATAAATGTGAAACAAATAAACATTAAGTAAAAGTGGCAGATCAAGAATTTTTTTTTTAAAAATCGCAGTGAAAAATGAAACAATGATAGGGGAGTATTCTTAATTACTAATAAGAATAAAATTATTTTTTTTAAAAAAAGCTAAGATTTTCTTATCCAAAATTTAGAGTTTCATAATAAGACACTTTTTTTTAAAAAAATTTAAGGGATCTAACAGAACTAATGCGCATGAAAAGAAATCGATTAACTTTGATATTCAAATGAGGATTAAAATTAAAATCTTTGAAAAATCCAACTAGATAGAGCCTGCGTGTATTTCAATAGAAAAAAAGGTAATAATTTCGGTATCCACAATTAATCAAACTATTCAACAGTGCTACAGTTAACAACCGCGTGTGTGTGTGTGTGGGGGGGGGGTGTCACAGAACGGTGGTTACGGAGGAGGGCTCCGGTCCTGACTTAACACAAACTATGTTGACTTAGTAGTGGTCAGTACAGGACCGCTCCTCTCTGTGATTTATATTGTGGGTGTCTAGGCGTTGAGACAGACAAAAGCACAAAGTAGACTTGGACGAAATGCAACAACTCAAAACTTCTGGTGTCCAACGATAATGAAAGTGTTTATTGGTAAGATATACGTTTTTCCAGTCATCTGTCGTCTTCTGGTCTCTAGCAAGTATTCCTTCACAACTGCTCAGTTCTATCGTAGCTCTTTTCTCTCTCTTCCTCAACTAATCCGTAGTTCTTCTCTATCTTCCTCAACTAACTACTGTCGCTCCTTTCCCTCTTCCTCAACTCGTCGTACCTGTGTTCACTCTCCCTCAACTAAAACAAAGTAGACTTGGACGAAATGCAACAACTCAAAACTTCTGGTGTCCAACGATAATGAAAGTGTTTATTGGTAAGATATACGTTTTTCCAGTCATCTGTCGTCTTCTGGTCTCTAGCAAGTATTCCTTCACAACTGCTCAGTTCTATCGTAGCTCTTTTCTCTCTCTTCCTCAACTAATCCGTAGTTCTTCTCTATCTTCCTCAACTAACTAATGTCGCTCCTTTCCCTCTTCCTCAACTCGTCGTACCTCTGTTCACTCTCCCTCAACTAACCTAACTCAGTGAAAGCTCCCTCTTATATGTGGTTATCTACCCCCCATAGGTGGTCCAGGAATGCTATCTATAAACACACCCATGCCCCCTAATTTCCGGTCAATTAGACCTTCCCATTGTTAACCCAAAAATTATCATGCGAAGTCTGGAAAACCCGAACATACTATTATCTAAAGAAACAATCTCCCACTATATCAAGATGTGAGAGTCTATTAACCTTAACTTAACCCCATTAACAGCAGTTTCCTTCCATCCTATCGTTACCTTAACAACAATGGAGCTCTGTCCTATACCCCCCCCCCAGTCATTTGTGACAGGGGGGAGGCATGGTTGTTGATTTCCATTTAACATGCTGGTGAGGAAGATCATCATTTCTTCGCAAAAATTGATGATTACGTAGAATCATTAAGACAGCAAGTAATAAATACAGATGAAACTACAATTGCTGAATGAAACATGAAATCGCATGGAAAAATCTGTTTTACTTATAAACGCAAAGAACAGAGAGAGAGAGAGAGATGGGGGGGGGGGAGAGTATCACATACCCTCCCCCACCCTTCTCGGACCATTGCATAGAAATAACACCATAAGGATAGGCTGAATACCTGGTCTAATTAAAAGCCATCATGGTAAATATGTGTTTGATGCTGAGGCTCATGAAGACACTAGCGAAATAACGCACAGCGAACTCTTAGTCTTGGGATATGATGCTCATTGGTAGCATGAGATCGTGGAGGGGACAGATTCGTAACAATTTCTAAACAAAACAATAAATGAATTCAGTGGTTCCCAGACTTTTTTTTTGGACTTGAATAGTGGAGCCCTATGAATAATCAATGTCTATGTGAAAGTTTCATGTCATTGTTTTTCTTCTTATTTTTCACCCTTAGCACGACTGTGGAGCCCCTTGATAAGTGAACGCGGAGCCCTTGGGACTTCACTGAGAAAAGGCTGGGAACCACTGAATTATTCCGTTAAATTAACTTTAAGTCAAGAAACTCAAGGATTCGATTCATTTTAGTTAAACTTTGACTTTGAGCCGCCTGAAATTCCTTTTGCCGAAAACATAAAACCTAAACATCAAGAAAGCGTGTCAAATTCACTGCAGTAAATTCCCACCAATATGACGTCAGGAAGAGCGCGAATGTTTTATCCGCCCAGAACAGCAAAAAACAAAAAAAATTCTTTATATTTATGGTCGGCATTTTCGGTTAAATGCTGCGTTTTTTCGTGGAAGGGGTTCTGCAATAATCTTTGTCTGGTCCGGTTGGCACTGACCCTAGCTAAGTTACTTTTTACAATACAAAATATTATATATCGTTTCATATTAATAATGACCAAGTATGAGGCTTTTCAGGTCCTAGACATTTGAACACCTCTGAAGTATATATAATATATGATCTATGAATGCTTTTTTTTTTCCCTATGAAGTGTCCCTCTATTTAAACGCCGAAACGCCTCTGCTCTTGACCTCCTGTGCGTGTATAGTAAAGCTACTATTGTTTGCGTTCAGCCCAGTGCCAATTTGTGCCCGATACAGTGCGGTCGTTATGACATCTCCTAAAGGAGGCAACTTAAGCGTCTCCACATTCTTCGAATACCGGTAATAAAAAGGCCATTTCATTTTGAATTGACAGATTCATTGTTAATCATTGCCCGACTCATCGATGACCCCTGAGTAAGACTCGTACGAGCAGAAGACCAGAGCAGCCAAAATTATATACAGGCAGAAGCCTAGGGGCAGACGACTCATCGGTCGCCCAAGGATGAGGTGGATTGATGATGTGGAGACAGATTTACACCAGTTGGGGGTTCGAGCATGGAGACGGAAAGCCATGGATCGCTCCGAATGGAAGGATGTGGTGGAGCAGGCCAGGACCCTACATGGGCTGTAGTGGCATTGATGATGATGATGATGACGAGCAGAAGACAGGCAAGACAAAAATATGTTCAAAAGTTTGTAAAACGGTGACATTTCTTTCCCAATAAATCGAGTTTCAAGCACTCAAAGTTTCTTTCTTTTCAAACTATTAAACTATGCTGGGTGGCCGAGTGGTCTAAACTTTCTCAAACCAAATAGCTGGTGGTCTGGAGTTCAATCCCCACCAAAGCAATACATCCCAAGCACCCCGGGTGGATGGGACTCACTGGCCTTGGACGGCAACCCATCTAAGAGAAGGCAAACTCTGAATTAAAACCAGGAGCCACAATGATCAACAAATTGATCGTGGGCCCCTCAAATATAAGAAGAAGAAGAACAACAACTTTTAGTAGTCTTGTCATATACCACAATTCCTCAGCATCCCATTTAATTCGGAAACTGAAAATATAGGGGGGGTGGGGGGGGGGGGAAGGGGGGGGGGAAGGGAGTGACTGCAATCACGTTAGGTAGAAGGAAATATGTGAAACAACAGATTTGAAAACCTGGGTTAAAAAGGATGCTACATTTACATAAGTGTTCATTTAAATTTTATGTTTGTGTTACTCGTTGGTTGTTCGCCGAAGAAGGCATCTTGGCGACACGTTCGTTGTTTTGTTGCGTCCGTTTCTTCCGGTTATCCAATACCTTGCTACACATAATTCCTATACCCTTGAGAGGCCCAAGTTTCGAAAAAATGGTCTCCTGGGGCTGTGGCCACTACCTCTGCCCCCCCCCCCAACCCCCCGACTAGTATAATGCTACAGGCCATATCCCCTATGCTGAATTCCTTGCTTCGCCACTTTTAGTATAATATAAATCTTAGATGCCGTCACTGCAGCAGCCCAAGTTTCCAAAAAATGGTCCCCTGGGGCTGTGGCCACTACCCCTGCCCCCCCCCCCCAACCCACTGACTAGTATAATGCTACAGGCCATATCCCCTATGCTGAATTCCTTGCTTCGCCACTATGAGTATAGTATATATGTTAGATGCCGTCACTGCAGCTACAGGTCACCCTTAAAATAAGAAAAGCACCCAGCACAATTATAATGAGATTCCAGCAGTTCGTGTAGCCAGAGTGTGTGCTACCCCCACCCTTTCCCCGGGCGCCACCCCCACCATTAGCTTCTCCTCCTCATGCTAGAGGAAACAAAGTGTTTGTCCTTCACATTGCACTGTGTTGCTCCTATTGTCATACCCTGACAGTGGTCTGAAAGGTTGTTATGTCTACGGACGGCTGAGTTATGTATATCTCGGGTTGTTAATGTAGATCGGTGTGCCGAGGTAATCTGTTTGCGCATCGGATTATATAGTGTATACATAGTTTGTACTCTGTGGATTTAAAAAAAAATATTTCATTGTAATTATGCCCCTACACGTTACAAGATAGAGCACGCCTGACAACACTATGCCATCTTTATGGAATACAAGTCTACATCTGATATGTTAAATTTTAAAAGAATTTCTTCAGACTTCTTTGGGGAGATGGTGGAGACTACATCTAGATGAATAGATTTGTAGTTCATTGTACACTAATGACAAAAAGGGAAAAGGGGAATAAGGTTTTCCTTTTAATGGGATAAAATAAATGTTAAAATATATTTTTAATTAACTGAATTAAACTATAAAGGAGTTGATTTTTTACAGTTGTTTTATTGTTATCCATTAATGCATAAAACAGTGTTGATTTTAGTTGAGAGGTTGGTCAATTGCTATTAGTTGGTCAATTGCTACTAGTTGGTCAATTGCCACTAGTAGGCCAATTGCTACTATTTGGTCAATTGCTACTAGTTGCTTCATGTTCCCCTGCTTATCACTAGTAATGGATAACATAGATTATAATATGCTTGTGACATAACTGCTTGTAGAATTTCAAATGGGGTTGTGCTGATATTATTTGGGGTCAACGGCTGAAATAATAGACTAAGAGAAGTAGTGATGTTTAAATATTTTTTTTTTTTTTTTTTTAAATAGAGTCTTGAAATTTTAGTTCCAATTTTATTTTTGAAATCTGACGTGTCTCCAATTACGTTTTACTTATACCGGAAAATATGTGTTTTTAATTTTTTTTTTTAATAGATTATAATATTCTTGTGACATAACTGCTTGTAGAATTTCAAATGGGGTTGTGCTGATATTATTTTGGGTCAACGGCTGAAATAATAGACTAAGAGAAGTAGTGATGTTTAAATATTTTTTTTTTTTTTTTTAAATAGAGTCTTGAAATTTTAGTTCCAATTTTAGTCTTGAAATCTGACGTGTCTCCAATTACGTTATACTTATACCGGAAAATATGTGTTTTTAATTTTTTCTTTTCCAAAAATGTATCCTTTTTAAAAGCCATTTTTTAAAATACAAAATTTCATGGTACATGAAATGTGGTAGTGACTTGAAAACGCTTGTGAACCAGTGTACTAGAGCCACTGAGCTTAGTAGTTCAGCGAAGTTAACTAGATTGTACACTTCATTGTTTTTTTGTTTTTTTATATCGACAATATGTCAATTGCTGATATTTTTTCTAAAAAGTAGATTGTATTTTAAAAGTTTGAACACACACGAGATTTCCCAGTAAGCTAAAATTTACCAAGTAATCTTTTGTTAACCCAAAATCGTGCGGGATCTTGGAAAAGAAACTCCACTGATGGCGGAATGTTATTTTATTTTATTTTTTTTTAAACACAGTTTTCTCTAAACAAATTAACACAACACCGGTCGTGAAATAATACCGCTAATGAAAATATACGGAACAATAAAAAAAAAAATAAAAAAAAAGAGAAAGAAGTGCTCATCATATTTTGATAACAAAGTTGGTTAGTTGTAGTGAGGCTGATGACAGTAACTAAGAGGGTAAGGTCCACATTTTCACTTTGGTGGATCTCCAAAGTCTCACTTGGTCATTACAAACAGAGCCGTACCATTAAATTTGAGGCTGAGAGCAAGCGGTCCCAAACTTAAAGAAGCCATCAGGCCGGGCCGCAAAAGGCCCTAACAATCTTTTTGCCCGCGTCTGACATCGCAAAGGTTAATAAAGACAGAGCGATTGATACAGCAGACTTCTCAAACAAAATACGTTTCCCTCGCTAATGATGTTTTGTATCCTTATCCACTGTGTAAACATATTCTACTCAGGGCCGGATTAAGCCATCTTGGTGCCCTAGGCACAAACCCACATGGGTGCCCCCTACTGCCCCTGGTCTCCGATCCTCCACTGACTGCTGGTATGTTCAATATTATGCAAAAAACTAACAAAGAAAAGGTTGTGAAATGTAAATACATATGTTTGTACTACTATCACTCATATAAAACCTACAATAAGGTATTTCTGTATTAAAATTAATAGTTAATTAATTTTGTAATAATAGTAGACAAAAATACTGTAACTTTTTTGATAGATAAGAAAGTCAGAGAGAGCACACATTTATATTTTAAAGTTCTTTTTTCTAGATTTACGTCTGGCAAAGGTTTTGAGTACATCATCAAAGTTAATTTTGCGCAACAAGTCTGCCTCAATCATCAGCAAAGATAAGGAATCAAGCCTTTCTTGTTTCATTGTCGATCTACTTGGATTTTTTGTACGTTTCAACTGAGAAAAAGAGCGCTCAGTTGAACAGTTCATAACCATTAATGTTAAAAATATGCGCAAGGCGATTTCGACATTTGGAAAAGCACACTCGATGTTGTCTCTAACTATTACTTTCTAGAGTTCTGCATGACTGAACGCGTTGTTGTCAGATTTTGATGCACGAAACTTGTGGCGAATATATGAGTGGAACTGTTGTAGTTCACTATATAAATTATTGTTCAGATCTTCTGGATAAGCATTTATTAGTCCTTCACAACACTGAGGTGTTTGTGATACATCGACCAAACAAGAAAATTGAACTGCTAGATTATTATATACCCGTCCTCGTCTACACATCTCTGTCTCAAGTTTGTCAACAATAGTGTAGAAAGCAGATATACAAATTTTTGTCTCTGGCATTCTGAGATACCTAAGGGGCATCACCATCAGTGACCACTGTCTTTCGTTTACGATTATGGGTCAAAGTTGACTTATAATCCACACTGGTGTTATTTCTTTTGCAGCTTCTTTAAATCTTTCAAATTCATTCCTAGATTCATGCAAGTAAACTGCTAGTGAAGAATACAAATCAGCACACGTTTTCAAGTTCACGTGATCATTTTGTATAACATGACTGACCTTGTGAAAATGGTATAACACTTCTTCCCAAAAGACAAGCATGAAAGCAAATTCTAATTCTTGCATCTTCTTTGCAATGTTTTCTGCTTCTCTTCTGTTATCCCCCTTCTGTGACTGGTCTTCTTGTGAACATTCTAACGCTTCTATAACCTGAGGATGAGACTTTAGAATATGGCTTCAGATTGCAACAGCATGGGCTTACCATCTGGTATCGGAGAGGGACTTTACCAGCTTTTCATTCACAAGGCATCCTTTCAGAATCTTCCATCTTTTGGTTGAAGCTAAGAAAAAAGTATAGATCAGATGCACTTGCACTGTATGGAAGAAGTTAACTGCTTCTAAACAAGAGTCAACGGCACTTCTGCCTACCAGATTTAGTGAATGGGCAGCACAGGGTATGTATATAGCAAACTCATTTTCTTCTAGAATTTTTTCTCCATACCCTTGTAGCACCCAGACATATTAGCTGCGTTGTCGTAGGACTGACCTCTGCATTTCGAAAAATCAATATTGCAAGCTTTACGTAAGTACTGCAAAACTTGCTTAGCCATACCTTCACCGGCGTGACTTTGCCGCTCCCAGAAAGTCAAAAAGCGCTCAATGGGCTCTCCATCTACCGCATATCGAAGAACAACGCTGAACTGATCTATATGTGAAATATCAGGCGTTGAGTCTACTGACAAGCTGAAATAACCGGAAACCTTTACTTCATCTATAATTACTGCATGGACTTTTTGCGACATAATTTCAATCAGTTCTTCACATATAGTTTTGGATAAATAAGAAGGATTTTCTTTTCCATTCCACATTTCGCAATGTGTGATGCTATATACACATTTTTCTTGATGACTTGTGGTGCCCCCCAAATGCTTGGTGCCCTAGGCACGTGCCTTGTTTGCCTAATGGTTAATCCAGCACTGTATATACTGTGTAATCGCTGGTACCGAGTGCGCAGTGTAGCGGTCAATCAACACAACAGAAGGGTCCAGCCGACAGAAAGCAGCTCTAAAATCATGCCACCCACGCCTGGGAAATCTTTCTTATTTTTTTTTCTTCCTTTATTGTCGCGTGCTCTGACCTCGTTGTTGATTTCCGAAATTAGGAATTTATGACCAGGAGTCACGTCAGCATTTCCTCTAGGGCTGCTACACATAAATATGGAATAATGCCCTGACCGTCTCTTGGAAATGGCGAGTCCTGGCCATTTCGGAAACAACACAAACAAATTACGTTCAAAGGCTCAACCATGATATTATATTAAGGGCTGAAAATCGGTGAAATAATTTTATACTCCGACTCTTACTAAACTATACGGAATTAGCTCAATGATATCATATTGTGGCTGCTGCCAATGGTCATTGGTGTTACAGATTTTTAAAAACCTTTTTTTTTTTTTAAATTCTCGCTGATATGGGGGTTCAATAGGGCTTTCCAACCCACCAACCCCCCTTCCCCCCCCCCCCCCAAGCCATCAAAACAAAGAAGAAGAAAATTAATTGAAACAAAATATATATAACTAATGATTATTGACATTTTCTCCGGTTTCCCGGTAATTTTCATGTCTATAAAAGCCCGATATCAAAACTTGAATATGTCGTAGTCCTCCGCTGCGTAAAAAATGCAAAATACGACAAAGTATCTACGTTTACCTGCCTGTAATTACGTTAGCAGCTTTTTTTTTTTTTTATATAAAAAAATAAATTATACCTAGTCTATAACAAAATGTGTAATCGTCAGAGGTCAACAATACACGGGCGAGTTTTGACGGCATTTTCGGTCTACATCGTCTAAAGCCCATTTTATTGACATAGACACTATATTATTGTAGACGTTGCGTCAACTTTAAGGACCACCCAGGGGGTCGCAAACCCCAGCTCATCCACCGCAACAATTTGACCACATCGATACACACCTCGAGTTGATGTTCGACCGGTTTTCTCCACTGTCCATGTGACGAAGATTATCATCTTAGATTTGCCAACACGTTAAAGGTTTTCAAATAATTGATAACAAAATGACATCCAAATGATTTGCTCAATGATCGAGGAAATATTACAGTGAAAATAAAATCTTAAGTGATTTTTATTTTACTAGGCTGCCATTACAAAATCTTTCAATTCCTTTTTTTAAAGTAGTAAATAATATTATTATAAATCATTATAATCAAATAAAAATAACAATTTTGTGATTGCTGTCATTAACAGAATTTTTTTTTTTTTAAATCTAATTCAAATAGACATCAACAATTCGATAAAACTAAGGCATGACATCAACAATTCGAGCAAACTAAGACTTGACATCAACAATTTGATCAAACTAAGACATGACATCAACAATTTGATCAAACTAAGACATGAAATCAACAATTCGATCTTACTAAGACATTGTATCAATAATTCGATCAAACCAAGACTTAACATCAACAATTCGATCACACTAAGACATTGCATCCAGCTCAAACAGAAAAAAAACAAAATGAACGAAACGAGCCACAACAATAAACAATCGCCATGAAATGAGCCCACTACGTACCTTTTCCCCGTGGCAGCTACCTGGATCACAGTGAAAATGTTGGGAACTGAGCAGGGTTCAGATTTGATGAAACCCCAACAGTCGCCCGCATGTGTCCTCCGTTCCCCGGCACGTAATAATGAGTGGAGTGTTGGCCCAACTTGTTATCAGACTACTTGCGGTGAAACCTTACGACAACATGTTCTCTTCCCGAGGCCAGCTCGAGAGGGCGACACGGTAGGCGGTAGGGAGAAACGAGTGCAAGAGGCTAGTTGTGCGGCAAACAGTTTGTTAGTCATACGTGGAGCATTCGTGATGTGATTGAGTAGTGGCGGGGTCGAAGTCGAGCCTCGCTTTGGCGAAAGTCTTTAAAAATTCAGTGGATAACGAAATGTGTCCTGACAAATATCATAGCATGCGTGATCATGGTCAGACAATGGTTATCCACAACAGAAGACAACCCCACGCCTGAGACTTAATGCTGTAATGTATAGCCTGGCCGAGGACGGACTCAACCTGTTTTTCTTCCGGATTATACTTGTCTAACAATAATTACAAACCCCAGGGTTGTCCAGCAACACTGCACATGATCTTTTTTTTTTTGGGACACTTTACTGGAGTCATCTACAAAGGCAATCGCGAGAAAATAAGACGAAGATACCACAATCATTCGTTATGCACAGTGGGGCTCAGTTCCCAGGGCTCAGTTCCCAGGGCTCAGTTCCTGTGCTCAGAATTTAATTCGTATGAAAAGTTCCCCATACGATTGCGATCTCTGACTCTTGGCCTGTTCTTTGAAAGCAATTACAGTTTCTATTTCAAACATATTTGTTGCATGAAGCTAGTAGGAGACCATTTTAAAGCCCACGTTTTAAAGACTGTGCGCTGTATATTAACTCCAACAAACATTAATACTAATTTCATAATTATAACTTGACAGTACATGAAATTTCCATGACACTTGACATCAATGTGTACAGGAAATTATGACAAATGTAGCATTAAAGTCAGGATGAAAGCAAGTTTTTATAACCCGATGTTTCCACGCAGATATTAAGGATGTTCAATGGTGATCGGATTTCCGGTTATCGGTTTTGAAACCGATTTGCAACACATGCACAAAAGAAAACAAACAACAAAACACACAACAAAAGACAAAAAAACAAACATAAAAACACACAAACAAAACACACAACAAAAAACATCAAAACACACAACAAAAAAACAAAACACATAACAAAACAACAAAAACTAAAAACAAAACAAACAAAACAAACAAAACACACAACAAAACAACAAAACACACAACAATACACACAACAAAACACACAAAAAACACACAACAAAACAACAAAACACACAAAAAACACACAATAAAACAACAAAAACTATTTTAAAAAAAAACACACAACAAACAACACAAAACACAACAAACACACAATAAAACACACAACAAAACAAACAACAAAACACACAACAAAACACACAACAAAACACACAACAAAACACACAACAAAACAACAAAATACACAACAAAACACACAACAAACACACAACAAAACAACAAAACACACAACAAAACAAACAAAACACACAACAAAACAACAAAACACACAACAAAACACATAACAAAACAAGAAAACACACAACAAAACACAACAAAACTACAAGAAACACACATAACAAAACAAACAAAACACACAACAAAACACATAACAAAACACATAACAAAACACATAACAAAAACAAGAAAACACACAACAAAACACAACAAAACAGACAATAAAACACACAACAAAACACACAACAAAACAACAAAACACACAACAAAACACACAACAAAACACACAACAAAACAACAAAACACATAACAAAACAACAAAACACACAACAAAACAAACAACAAAACACACAAAAAACACACAACAAAACAACAAAACACAGAAGAAAACACACAACAAAACAACAAAACACATAACAAAACAACAAAACACAACAAAACAACAAAATACACAACAAAACACACAACAAAACACACAACAAAACAACAAAACACACAACAAAACAACAAAACACAACAAAACAACAAAATACACAACAAAGCAACAAAACACACAACAAAAAACACAACAAAACAACAAAACACACAACAAAACAACAAAACACACAACAAAACACACAACAAAACAACAAAACAACAAAACACACAACAAAACACACAACAAAACACACAACAAAACACACAACAAAACACACAACAAAACACACAACAAAACACACAACAAAACACACACCACTAACAAACCGAGAAGATACTCAAGTCTATATTATAATGATGGCAAACACAATTTTTTAATCCACTAATTTAGTTCTATCCAGTGTCGCATCCAGGAAATGTTGAGGAGAGGGAGAGCTTTATTGGCAACTCCAGTCGCTATTAGAGTATAACGTCATGTACACTTCAGCCATGACATCGATATTAATAACCAATAGAGTATGACGTCATACGTCATCCGGGATACAAACATTAATCAGCATCAGATTATGACGTCATATGTCATCCACGACATAGACATTAATCACCATTTAGAGCATGACGTCATATGTCATCCATGTCATGACATGGACATTAATAAACGTGTTTGACAACGAGACGATATCTCATGCGGTTCCAAAACTCCTTTCAGCCGTCCTACTTATCAGGTGTGGGCTATGTACCCAAGATGCCACTGGAGTCTGTGGTAGGCTTATTAAACAGCCGTCCTACTTATCAGGTGTGGGCTATGTACCCAAGATGCCACTGGAGTCTGTGGTAGGCTTATTAAACAGCCGTCCTACTTATCAGGTGTGGGCTATGTACCCAAGATGCCACTGGAGTCTGTGGTAGGCTTATTAAACAGCCGTCCTACTTATCAGGTGTGGGCTATGTACCCAAGATGCCACTGGAGTCTGTGGTAGGCTTATTAAACAGCCGTCCTACTTATCAGGTGTGGGCTATGTACCCAAGATGCCACTGGAGTCTGTGGTAGGCTTATTAAACAGCCGTCCTACTTATCAGGTGTGGGCTATGTACCCAAGATGCCACTGGAGTCTGTGGTAGGCTTATTAAACAGCCGTCCAACTTATCGGGTTCGGGCTGTGTACCCAAGATGCCACTGGAGTCTGTGGTAGGCTTATTAAACAGCCGTCCTACTTATCAGGTGTGGGCTATGTACCCAAGGTGCCACTGGAGTCTGTGGTAGGCTTATTAAACAGCCGTCCAACTTATCAGGTGTGGGCTATGTACCCAAGGTGCCACTTGAGTCTGTGGTAGGCTTATTAAACAGCCGTCCAACTTATCGGGTGTGGGCTATGTACCCAAGGTGCCACTAGAGTCTGTGGTAGGCTTATTAAACAGCCGTCCAACTTATCGGGTGTGGGCTATGTACCCAAGATGCCACTGGAGTCTGTGGTAGGCTTATTAAACAGTATCTTGAATGCACTACGATTGAATCAAATAAGACCCTGTGATCAGTTGGTCGGGGTCATGTGATGAGGGCCAGGCCAGGCAAGTGTTTAAGTGTTTAAGACCCAGGTCATAACGCCTCACCGAGTTTGGCGTTTTAATTTTGGATGCCGCCCAGAATCGCGATGCTGGTATGATTTTAAAGAGAGAGAGAGAGAGAGAGAGAGAGAGAGAGAGAACTCCGGGTCTAAGACGTTAATAATTAGGGCAAAGATCACCTGATGACGCCAATGGCCAGGTCGTTTCATATCGCAGACTTGACAGGCCCCCGGTCCCCCCACCTTGTCCCCCCTCCCTTCCTCCCCCAACCTTCTCACACTCCCTCACTATTTCCAATATGCTAATCGAAATTAATCGATTGGCTACAAAGTATGCCATTCACCGCACAAAATGCCTTCCCCAGTCGTGGGTCTCTAAAGAAACGGCTGATTAACAACATGGCAGTGGTCAGGGCCGCAATAAAAAGAAGACAAAATACGTCCCCAGACCACACGGTCAATGACGTCATCACGTCGTTATCTATTTCTGGTATATTCGTAAGAATATGTTCTTGTTGTTGTTTCTTTGACGAAGCCCCAAGTCAGTGTACTAAAGCAGTGGTCGACAAATCGCGGCTCTTTGACGACCTGAGTGCGGCTCGGCCATTCGGCTACAAATCGGGTTTGACTCCGAAAAATATGGGTCTTGACAGGTTCTTGAAAAGAAATTTGGCCCTCACAAATTTTTCAATCGTCCTGCTGCTAGTTTTTGACTCTTTTGACTAATGCGTTTACCGACCACTGTAATAAAGCATTTATTTATTCAAATACATATTTCTTTTTTTTTTATGGGCCTGCATAAATTCCCTTGCTCTACAAGTGAGATAAATTTAAAGGTAAAAATATATGAGAGCAGATTGCTATTATTCATTGAGAGAGCTGTGTCCACCTGCTGGTGTTTCAAATATTCTATGACTGAACATTTCATTATAGAAAATTTCGTGTGAAAATCCTGCACGCTTTTTCCACTCTTTTTTTCATATTTTAATTTTTTTTTTTTAAATTATTTCAGTTAACATTAACTCTCGAAATTGCAGTTTAAGCCCGATTGACCCTGTTAAATGACAAATGTCCAGACTCCGGATAGCAATATGTCCAGTAGAAGTTATATTTCATTATTCAGGGTTACATGTACGAAGTAAGGACTTATATATTCAGACTCCCTGGACCTGATCCCATCAAAAATTAATAATAATAATAAAATGTATAACTTTTTAATTTTAAAAAAAAAAAAAACCGAATCAGCTGATGAACTCAACGGAAAAAATATGTCCAGTAGAAGTTATATTTCATTATTCAGGGTTACATGTACGAAGTAAGGACTTGTATATTCAGACTCCCTGGACCTGATCCCATCAAAAATTAATAATAATAATAAAATGTATAACTTTTTAATTTTAAAAAAAAAAAAAACCGAATCAGCTGATGAACTCAACGGAAAATTATTTTGTTCACAGAGGGGAAAGATCTTCGATTTTCCGACTTTTTCCGGCGTATCCATTTTCAAGGGTCAGAGTTCAAATTCATGTAAAGGCTGTAGGCGAAGTTGAGAAGTCGGTCGATTTTGACAGTCTGGGAAGGTAGGTCGTTACAACTTTGTCTCAGAAAAATAATTGTACGCACCACCTGGTTCATATTTGGATCATGTAAAATATTTGATCAGTGGTGGGTTCATAGTTGGGTCATGTAAAAT